TGAATGAGGCATCTTCATAACGGTTATGTCAGGGTGTCTTTGCGTGACAATAATAGAGCTGTTTTCTATGACTAATTCCTCGAGCTGTAAAGGTCACACTTTGCCCAATCTGGAGTTTTATTTCTTTCTTTTCACTGTCTTTGAGAAGGGCGGTTCGAGTATGCTAACTCCATATAAGGGCTTACAAAATTCATGGTTTTATACGTCGCTAAGCTAGGTACGCGTCCTGTTGCGTAAAACTTTAAAAGGAAACTGGAAACCTGTGCAACCAACGGACCCAATTCATCTTTCCCATTCAGACCCATTACATGAGTAGCTATTAATAAAGGTATGCCCTTATTTGTCCTTGTTAAAAGTGTTTTATAAGTTCGACTAAAGTTGCATCAGATTGAACTTTTCATTGCCGAACTAAAATACCGAGATAATTTGGATCGAGGTGGATTTTCTCTTCCATGCAGAGTAAAACATGCTCCAGGTCATACACCGATCTTTAAAATAAAATTTAAGTAGCACAAGTGTGTTGCTAGGAAGCTACGTGGACAAAGACTTAAGTCCAGTTAAATCACCTAATTGAGCTTGAACAATAGCTGAACTTAATGTACGTGTAAATGTTCGGACTGTAGCGATCATAGCTTAGCGTTAGCTCGCTACCTATAGCTACGTTAGCTTGCAGGATATGTTAGTCTATAAAGAGGATGATACAAGTAGAGCTGAAATGATTCCTCAAGTACCTTGGTTACAAAAAGTGGTCGAAGAAATTTCCCTGCCTCGATTACTTGTTTATAAACTCAAATCGTCACCGTTTCGCACAGATTATTTTCAAGGTGACACAACGCACTTACGTCACCAAGGTAGAAAAAGGAGTAAGCAGTAGATCAGTAGATCCGGAAGATCATTAGCAATTCACATCTGAGTCGTGGGCGGAGACAGCGCTGCTCTGCACACTCCTCTTCACGCTAGCTTGTCGCCTAACATACTGTCTTTCTGGACATGATGAAAGTTAATGTCATTATTAGCTTTCTTACGAGCATTGCAATCCGCTAACGCACATGCTTGTTCCGCGTTTCTTGTTTCTAACAAAGGAAAACAGTTAATTGTTCATTATTAAGTTAAACGTCTGATTTTCTCTTCTTCTTCTTCAAAAAAAATGTTTTATACGATTACTCGGTTAATTGATGGAATATTCAGTAGAATACTTGATTACTAAAATATTTGATAACTGCAGCACGAGATACAAGTGGTACAGCTGATTCTGTATGATCCACAATAGTGCATAGTACTAACCATAGGACTGTTGGCCAACATTCACATAGGAAAGGAGATGAATTATATACAAATATACCAAAACTCCAGGATGATCAAATGTCCTTCTGGGTAAAAAGTGTTTTCCGATCACAAGGACCGAAGAGCCAAAAGGAGGGGGGAACTCACGCAGAGCCAAAAGCCCAGAAGAAAAAGCGAGTTTCATCTAAAAACAGGCAGTGAGGGGGAGTCAGAGCATTCCAGACTAAATGATAAGAAGATCCAGTCTAGACCTTGGGACAGTCAGAAGTGACTGGTCTGCAGATCCAAGGACCCATGTTAGATAATGTTGTTTTTAAGGGTCTTGGCCTGTTTGCTGATGTGGATATCAGTTATTTAACTTTAAAAATCAAACCTTAAACACTCATGAAGCTAAAAAATGTGATACAGACTCAGATGGTGCGCCGCTTAACAAGCAAAATTCACGTGTATGTGCTCCGAATGAAACATTTAAGATCGTTTAATCTGTTTTCAGCAGGAAAAGTAAATATGTTTTAAATTGTGGTGAATAATTCCTCTAATACTTTTAAAAATGTTTGATTTTATTGGAAACTCAACTTTCTCTTTGACAAAAACCAAACCATGTGAAGCTGTAACCCTTCCTAACCTTCCTCGGTGATAACAGGACACGAGTGATGCTAAATGATTTAAATTCTTATCCCGACACCATCGTTAGATTTTTAGATAATAAAAGTGACCCAGCCGGTGAGCCCCGTGTCTGGTCTGAAAGTTTCCTTCCTGAGGTTTTATTAACTCTCTGAACAACAGAGAGAAGCTGTGAAGCTAGCTTCTAAAGCAGGAAATGGATTTTTTTCTTTTTTGTAAATGATGATGGTGTGTGTTTGTATTAGGGAGTCAGAGAGACAGAGCCATGCAGCACATTAATATCCCCAATAACATCGGAGAGACGGGGCATCTGTTCGAGAATCCCACATCAAACGAGACGGCGTGTCAGCTCGGGGTTATGCATATATTTCCCTCTCGCTTCCCATCCAACAGGAAGAGGCAGGCGTGCAGGGACAGCGGAGGAGAGGAAGGAGGTAAAGTTTGATCAGGACTGCAGAAACACAATTACCTTATCGAGGTTTTCAGTTCTGCTCTGATTCTGTGCTGTTTCAGACAGGCTTGTTGTTTTCCTGCGAGGGCATCTGGATAAGATTAGGTGCAGCCTGACACTGCAGCCTGTGAAACATGACTCAGGGATGAATGGAGGCTTTTAGACCAGTGTCTGTCTGCCCACACGTTGTTCTGCTATTCTTTATTTGTCCATCACCCAATAAAACACGCATGGTGTTATCTGATACCCACACGCTCTGCAGGCAAACAAGATCCTGCCAATCTCTGCCTCGTCTTTTTTTAATCCGGTCTTTATTGGTGCTTTTCATACAAGATGTTGTTTTTCAAGTTAAAAGGCAGAGCCTCGGAAAAAAACAAGACGTCACCGGTGATTTTTTATTAATCAGAAATCAGCTGTCTGCGCTGGCCGTGCATCATTACAGGAGAATGGGATTCGTAAGGTCAGCGGATGCCTGTGTTTTCTCTGCTAAAAGCATGAAACAGAGCATGAAGGAGCGCAGCGTGGGGAGCGTGAGGGAATGCAGCAGAATAACACAAATTAAGGCCAAGCTGGGACAGAATTACCTGCTAAGAGAGGCGCGTATTCACAGCCTTTGTGTTTTTTTACTGTCTTTGTGTGGGACTCTTATTAGATTCTGCCTGTCTCAGCTCGCGGCTCAGACGAGGCCCTCTGACAGCCTTTATCCAGTTACGTCTGGGCTCTCCATCAGTGCTCCGGGGACCTCACATGTGCCCCTTTGTAACAGAAACAGAGGGGGACTAATGCATGTCACCGATCCACCTGCGGTGAAAGCAAACAGATCTGACCGCCGCTCAGCTGGGCACTAATGCAGCGGCAGAAATTCACGAGGGCTGCTTCACAGTCAGTGTGTTTATAGGCGCAATTAAGTCGAGTATAAGTCACTGCTAAATCAGGCGGTTTAACGGGACTACTGTTCTTGTTTAAGACAATATAAGATGAGAACACTTTGTCCACAGGGGGCGCCAAAGCTGACACACACAGAAGCAGATGAATCCATGACAGCTCTCAATGAAAGTTCATCACTGGCTCTGATAACAACAGACAATTCAGACGAGGGGTGTCCCGATAAAACTTTTTTTACCTCGGATACGATACCGATATTGTAGCCATCAGAACTAGCCAATACCGATATTGATCTGATATTGGCATAAACATGTGCATGGCAAGTTTTGCATTCAGCTGTTTTTCAGACTTTGACGAAAAATACTACCACACGGCCGACATCACTCCTACTACTTGCTACTTTGTTGGTACCTTAGTACACACTGTTGTTTTGATTATGTAGGTTTTGCATGCTGGATCCGGTTGCTGCTAAGATAAGATACGATGTTCCTTTAATGGTCCCACGGGGCGAAATTCAAAATTTACAGCAGATTAATACAGACACAAAAAGAGAAAATTATAGAATAAAGAAAATTAGAGTTAAAAAAAAAAACATATGCACGAGTCAAGAAATAGAGGTGCTGGAGCAGAGTCTGGAATGGACTGCTTGTATCGGAGTGCTGATATCAGAGATTTTAGATGCAGGCTGATAACGGACCGATATCTGATATTAATATTATATTGGGACATCTCTAATTTAGATCAAATAACTATCCTATATTCCAAAATAAAAGCATTCTGTGAAAATTAGGAGAGGCCCTCCACAGCGTAAAATAAAGATGCACAATATCAGTATCGTCAGGTAACAGTGACTGAAAACAATGTGATATCTGCATTATATTGGCCAACATGCTCTCTCTCTATCGGTATCTGCACCAGCCTTTGAAGAACAGTAATTGGTTGACCTATGATTATCATGCACAATGAAATGAAATGAATATCAGTCATCAGGGTACAGCTGGCTGCAGAAACATGATCAGAGTCAACTGCACCAGACTCTACTGAACCAAACCAGATGCATGATGGGAATGCACCTCAAGCTCATGGATACATACACGTCGGGATGCACCGATCCGATATTTGGATCAGATATCGGCTCAGATATTGACAAATTAACTGGATCGGATATCAGATGAAGTCTTTTTTCCTTCTTTTTGCTGTGTGCTCATGTGCAATTTGGTATTTATTAATAAATAGTATCAAGTAAATTTCCATCTGTGTTAATTTGTTACCTTAAACTCACAGTACAAGGTAAACAGTTCATTCATTCAACAGTAGTATTGGATCAGATATCGGCTGATATGCTCAGCCCAGGTATCGGTATCGGATTAGATTGGAAAAATTGAATCGGTGCATCTCTACATACGTGTACATATATTTATATACATATATTTTAAGCATCTTAGCAGCTCTCTGTTGTTGTTTGTGAGTCCTCTGACTCTCCCTATGAAAGCTGTTTTGTTGCCTCTATAATTGCCAGACGAGTTGTTGCCACTGCAGCTGCTGTCAACTGGAAATATATTTATTTATTTATATATATATATACTTTTTTTTTTTCTATTGTGAGAGAAAATGTAAGCTGGAGTAGTGACTTGACTTGACACACTAACACTGAGGCTTTTTCTTGGTTTGACAAACTATATCTCCAACACTGAGTTTGTGTGTGAGTGTGTGTGTGTGTATGTGAGGACTCAGAAAGTGAACATTGTTTCCCCGGTCAAAGGCAGGACTCTGCAGCGCTGTTCTGTTTGAGAACGAGCCACTGTCCCTGCATGGTTTTCAATTTCATCCCCCTCAGCACATCAGCGACAATTGCTTCCTACTGCAATTTATTACAGGCAAATTGAAAGATTCCAAGGTGTGAGTCAGTTTGTGTTGGCTCTGAATGTAGCAGCCTGGTTACTCACTCTCCTTCCACCCCTCCCCGTCCCCCGTCCCGTCTCTTGGAGCTGCGGCTCGTCGCCCCATCTGGGATTGCGAGGGCTGGAGTTGTTGTAACCAAGTCCTCTGGAAAAGAGAAAGAAAGAGAGAGGGAAAAAAGGATGACGCTTTCCCCATGCAAAGAGAGAGAGGATGGCAGTGGTCCCATTAGTTGACCTCCCGGGCGAGCTCTCTGGAGGGATATAGGCTTACAGAGCGTAAGAGTATGCAGCAGGCAGCATCAAAGCGCCGCACCGGCTACAGCTGATGGACAGAGGACGGAGGACCTCTCTCCGCCATCATTAGCCCTCACATCGTCTATTTATAATCAACTTTCCACACCGCAGCTCTGTCGCCCGTATGTTCTGGAGGAAAGGGAAAGAGATGAGGGACAAAGAGGAGGAGCGGGGCTGAGCAGGGAGCTGCTGGAGTGTTGCTAACACGGGGGGAAATTATACGACAGGGAGTGCTCACATAAATGGACCCAGACGTATAAAAGTAACAGCGGTTTAGTGGGGCCGTTTCTTTAAAGCCCGAGCTCAGACAAGGGGAATAAAACCACTCGATTCTTACTGGGTCATACATAGGAATGGTCGCCTTTTAAATTAGCCAGTAAACTGTGTAAAGCCGCATCATTATTCGCAACAAAATGGCCTCATTTACAGGCGAGTCGGCGAGGACGTATCGTTTCTATTCCTGCTCACCTCCTCCTCCTATTTATCTTTTTTTCCGCCCTGATTACTCCAGGTATAGTTTTACAGATTTTATTTCATCTATCGGAAAAGCAGTCATGAGTGGAATTTGTTTTTCTGCGGTTAAATGTCAGAAGAGCTTCACTGTCAAGGGAAGAGCGCGGCTAAGACGTGCACGTCTCATTGTGCCCCGATGAGAAAAAAAGAAACGGAGCTGTGTGGGAGGCTGTTTTCACTCCCTTCCTGAGAGGATGAGCCGCTGCATTCTTGATGGAGGTGATGAACCCGCGTAGCGATGACATTCTGTCTAAGTGTGTGTTCCTGCGTGCCTGCGGCGAGATGTTTTGTCTTTGACACGCTGAAACGTAAGAGGGAGTGGAGCTCGGCCTGGGTGCGTGACTGTTACGGGGAAATATGACCAAACACAGACAATGGGGGTCAAGTGCTCTCCTTTTCTGTTCCCCCCCTTGCCTCCTCGCACCGAACGCCCATTCAGGGACACTCAGATGAGGTTTGTGGCCTTGCGGTGCCGCTTTACAACCCCGTCCCCTCAGGCGACGGTAATAGGCCTCGAAATGGGTAACCTGCTTCAGAATGGATGCGGGTTAAAGGAAATGAGCTGGTGAGCCTGACCTTTTAGTTAATCTCCCTTTTTCCGCCGCTTCGTGTCCTCGAATTAGCTCCCAGTCGCAAAAGCGTTCAATTACTGTAAAAGCAACAATCTGTGACATTTGCTGCTAATTTTGGCCGCTCTGTTTTGAGAAGTTCTCTGATGTAAACATCGTGTGACAAGAAGGCGTTCAGTTCTGGTACAAAAGTACAAGTAGAAGAAGAAGAAGAAGCTTGTTACTGTTCTGTTCATGACTGCGGCGAGTAAACAAGAGCGGGGGAACCAACAGTTCAGTGACGCAACAGCTTAACGTGTCAGTTCAATGTTTCATCAGCGAGGGAGGATGAAGTGAAAGTGTTTCTGATTATGACCGAACCTGTCAGGAGAAGTTGAGCGAAATTCAGACTCTTGCTGGTTTCAGCTGCTTGTCAAAATACAACAAAAGACAGTCTGTAACTTTTCCATTAAAGAGACTGGAGATGAATCTTTTACATTGATTGAGGATATAATATGTTTAAAAAGTTCCTCTTGGGTCTGAAAGATAACCAGTGATAATAAAAAGAGTTAATTATTAGAAGAAGTCTTTGTATCACTTGAACTTTTTTTTAATTTATAAGAATAAAATCCTTAGAAAACATTTTATAGAAAAAAAAAGTTCAGAATTAATGAGAAAAAACAAACTCCTGAATTAATTAGAATGAAGTTTTAAATTTAATTAAGAAGATAACTGTCCTCAATTTAAAAGGTGACGGTTGTGAATCTACAAAACGTAGAAATCAACAAAGTATAAGTCAGAAATACACAAAAATAAACTTGAACATTTGTTACCAAAAAGTAATTATTTTCAGAGAATAAAATTGTTCACAGTTATCAGAGCTTTATAAAAGATAACCTTGTACATTCACAAATACGTTCATGAGTTAAGTCAGCATTTTTTTTTTTTAAACTTTGGAATAAAGAAATAAACTTTCTATTTAAAAAAAAAGTAAAGCTTTAATTTCACGAGAATGGATTTGTTCACTTATGAAGCTTATTTGTTTCAATGTTATAGGACAGAAGTTGTAGTTAAAGGCTTTGGTTAAGTTAGAAACTTTAGAGACTTTATTCTCGTACGTAATTACTTTATTATTCTCCTTAGGAATGACTTTGTTCCCATAAATTTACGACTTAAATCTTAGGACAAGATTTTAAAAAGGGATCAAAAGTTCCACTTTCGCCACAGGGGGCGCCAAAATGAACACAATAACTTTGCCTAACTTTCCTGAAAAGATAAAAGTCTTTAGAAGGACCAAAACTCAAAAGTTCAAGCAGTCGTTAAAGGACTGATTGAAGCAAGAGACGGCAGCTAAAATAAAGGTCAGTAAGTGGTTCAAAGTTCAGTCTTAATGTGAATTTTCAGTGTGAATCAAGAGTCGAACTGGAGTAAAGTAGTTAAATCAGGTGAAGTAAAAGTTCAATTTCAAGTTTCTTACATATTTATAACAGCTGCGGTTCAAAAGAGGCCGTGAGAGACATTAACACCAGTTTGTTTGTGTCAAGAGCAGGCTGTTGGTTGATGTTTAAACACTGAGAGCAGATGGAGCTAATTATGTTTAACAGTCAAAGCCGTCTAACTGGGAGGAGATTAAGTCGATTTTTCCTGCTCTGAAGGGGTTTTGATGTGCTTTAAGTTTAATCACCAAACACAGGGGAAAGTGAGTGATATGAAGAAGAAAGCTACTTAAGTCATTAGAGTTAACTTTAAATCAGTTCAAAGTTGAATATTAAGGTTATTATGTACTGAAACAATAAACCAAAGCGGCTGAACACGGCGATTACACAGAATTAATGAGTAAAATTAAAATAATCCAGGATGTTTGGATTTTCAGGAGGGGAGGTATTAGTACTATAGCTGGTTGAAATGATGATATTTCAATATTAAGAGGCATTAAAATGATTGACAGGTGATGGTAAGTGTTTAGCAGAGTGAAAACAGTGAGCTGTCTGCAAATATATCAATGACAGCCAAAGTTGTCAATGCGAAAACCACAGCCCATCATTACAAACCGAGCTCCATTTGATAGTTTTTACTTCTGGATCGCTTGGAGACTAAACAGAAGTTAATACAACAAAAACAATGTGCAAAATTAATCTAAAGAATGAAAACTTCTGGTCTCTTAACCTCACTGGAAGTTTACAGAGAAGACCGCCTCGTAATGAAGAGCTGCCCCGAAGAAAAAGGAGAAAGAAAATAATGAAAACTTTGAGTAAGAGTGAAAATTATTTAATCTTTAAACAAGTGGAAGGGTTCTTATTCGCGTGAAATACTTCCAAGGTTATGAAAAGTTATTACGGGACGAAAAGAGCGGAGGAATATTTGGGGAAAATAACCACGTTGTGTTTCGATCTGCCTGCGACGACTTGGAGAGACGCGGAGAAAGTTGATGATTTATCCTGGCGGACGTCACTTTTACTTCGAGGATTCAGACGATCACGCAGCTTCGCCCTCGCCGAAAAATGATTAAAAATCTTTGAGGTTACTTGAAACCGCAGGACAGCTTCCACACTAATTAGTCTGTTATAAAGAACCATTAATAATTCTGACACGGCGCTCGTTATTCATGGATTATATTTGCATTAACAAGGTAAAAACTCAAATCTCCCCCCCTCTGGACATCTCGGATTTAAATTTGAAATGTTCGAACAAAAAAATAACCATCAATGATAAATATGCGTAGTTAATTCAACAGAACAACTTTGATGATAAACTTGATAAATTTAAAACCATTCCCGGTCCAGTGAGGCTCTTCGGAGGAACGAGATGGCTGAAAAAAAATCTTAAATCAGCATCTGTTAACACTCGCGGCGGCCGGCCTTCCTGGACTCAGAGGCCCCCACACGCTCTGCCTATACTTTTAGAATTATGGGCCCGGCTGATGAGTAGTTGTGTCGAGTTGGAAGGTCCTTGGCGAGAGGCCTTGGGCACCACTGCAAGACTATCAGAGTGCAGAGTCATTAGAAATCCCTCATTCTCACTCTGCTGTGTAAACGGCCCAGCGGCCTCCATCCGAACGCGCCCCGAGGAAGGATCACCTCCGCCAGGCTGAAATTGGATCGCACGCAGAGGAGGGGAGCGGTGGGAGCCGAGCGGAGAGAGGAGGGGAAGAAAAAAAAAGAGAAATTATGTGTTCCTATTTATTGACTTGGCTGCAGCGATCGCTAAACTGTTTCAAGGGAGAGCGGACTTTGGGGGGAATTTTTCCCATAAGCACCAGACATAAAGGAGGTGACAAGTTACCTTCGCTAAAGCTTTAGAGGACTTTGACTCTTTTCAACCTTGTCCATCCATCTCCAAATCCATCTTCAAATTTAAGCCGAGAAAACAGCAGCGCCTTTAAAGTTTAAGATGAGGTGCTCACAAGCAATGTTACATTTTCAGTGAGTGTTTTCAGGATGAAATTAGCTCGGTTTTAAATCATCACAGAAATAAACAGTTGAGCTCAGATGCATAAATTTGGCCTGTGAATCTGTTTTAATATCCCCAAAGCACTTGTAATTATAAACATGACATTTAATATCTTGTAAACTAATCCTTTATCAGGCTGACTAAAGCTAATAAACATTAGAGTCACAGTCAGGAGCCCGAGTGTAAAGGAGGAGAGCAGAACAAAGAGAGGATGATTAAGACGGTAAAAAATAAAGTTTTATCTGTTATTTGTTTGCCTTTTTGGTTTATTAAAGTTATTACAATGCTGGGTTTTTATCTGCGAGAACAGTGAGAGGCCGTGCAAAAGAAGAAGATAGTGGTTAAATTGCATCAACTGTGCTTCTTGTCCCTCTAAGGCCGCCATACTTAGACACTAGCTATCAATAATATCGTATTTCTGCACACTACGACACCTTTAAACTGCCTTTACTTATCAGTTTTAAAAATCAATGTCAAACGCTTTGATTATGGCGCCCCCTGTGGACAAAGCAGTACCTCTTATATTCTAGCTGATTTTGTTTTAATTCAGTAAGTTGAGTTTTCTTGAAAAAAAGGATCGTTCCATGTATTTTTGCCGTTGAGGTCACATTTGTTAGCGTGCCTTACGGCGCCGTCTGACTCCTCCCCCTCACAATGGCATTTAAAAGTACGATATCGTCACCCAATTAAAATAATGGCCCGAGTCATTTTTTGACGAAAATGAGTTTTGACCTAAATCATCTCTAATTCAACTCAAGAGATGATAAAGGCCAAAAACTAATTTTCCTCAAAAATGACATAGGCCATTATTTTAATTGGTTAACGATATGAAAGTAGTCCGTGTTATTTTTAATGGTCGGGTTTGCTTTTGTGACTTTAAAGAGGCGTCATTATTTATTCCAGATTGTAGCATAACCAGTTTTAAATTCCCTCACAGGAGCTTTAACACATAATTACAATATGAAAGATTATAGATTAATAAGGTATAGTTTAACAGTACACGCATTTCCTGACGTTGACAGCTAACATTAGCTTAACTCAAGCGACAGTGCTCATGGATCATGGAAAACACATCCTTCCACTGTGAACAAAGCATGCTCGTTGCTAAATTTAGACTCACATATGGCTAATATTAGCGGTTAGCGAGCATGACCTGATTTTTAAGTTAGGCAACAATTAAAAACGATAAGTTAATTTTATGGGCAAGTAGCTTTTAAACCAAAATAAATGCTCAAGAAAACTAAGAGCCAAAACTCTCATAACTGGTCGTATTTTTGGCTAAGGGTGACCACTATACCCAGATTAAGCTAACAGCCAAAGATTACGCTAATATTAGCCTACTGTTTATCATTAAATGCATCTTATCTATGCAAATATCTACATTTTCAGTTATATCAGTTCTGGTTATAAACACAGACGCTCTCACAGTACTATAGCCAACAAAAGTAACCGGTTCAAAACTAGCAGCTAAGATAAACAACCCTAGAAATATTGACCTTTTTGTACTCTTTCATGAGAGAAAACAAGCTTCCTCGCCCGGCGTGGAGGAGTGTTTTTGTGTCAACAATCCATTTAGTTTCTCTGTTTTTCTGTTTACTGTCTCTGCGGGATAAATGTGGACATCGGCGAGACAAATATCATCTTTTATACGTCAAGAAACCAGATACTTTAGGTAGTGGAGAAGAAACACAGCGCTGTATTTCCCACAGTGAAAACTATGATGTTGTATACTCTACCTCCCAGAAAGCAGACTTCTGCTGGAAAAGAAATCTCTTGGTGGTAAATGTCCGATTGAATCCATCATTTGAGTTAATGTGAGTATTTTTCATATATGTGACTTTTTACAGCTGTAATTGCCAATAGACACTTAGTGGGTTGTAGTATTCACATCGAGATATACCTTACGAACAAAGGAGCTGACACTGTGTATTTTAAAGGAAAACGTGCTTCAGCCGTATGATGGAGTGTTTCAAGAGAGTCTTTATGTTCGGGCGGATTTTAACGGGTGTTTCTCAAACCAACAGGATCTTGTGACTTCCGGGATTTGAGGCGAAAACCTGCGGCAGAGCAGACAGTGAAAGCTTTTAGACCTTTCCCGTAGAAAATAGCGCGCTCGGGGTGAAACCAAGTATTAACACCTTGACCCTACATAGACCTGTACTCTTTGTTTGGCCTCATGATGTAGAGTGAGTAACGCAGCACTCAGCCTCGATGGAAGGAGGGAGCTGTATCGTACATGTGCTGTATATGTGTGTTTACATGGCACGTGTGCTGCAGTTCAAGGTGGAAAAAGGGAAGGCTTTTGTTGGCATGAGTGAAGTGGGCAAATTGCAGAGGATTGAAGAAGTGTGAAAGGTCTGCGGAGGAGAAGGACTCCTTCCTTTTTGCTGTTTATTATTAAATTCTGACAGAAAGCCTTTTCATTCAGAGGCCACGCTGAGAGTTGAGCGGGACAGATCGTGTGCTCTATCCTCCTCTCTTTTTTCCACGAGTATCAGCCATTACAATCAGTGAGCTCAGACTTGACTCCTTTCAGCTCTTTCTTCAGCGTTTTCACACTCCTCAACAAGACCTCGCTGTTTATCTTCCTCGGAGAATTACCTTAAAGTAACCCAAAAGAGCTGGATAAACTTTTCTGTGTATGCAAGCCAATAAAGCTCAAGTCTTTCATGTTATCTGTGAGAGACTCCTCGTTGCCGGATTTCAGCCTTTCAGGACTCACTTCCTCCTTGGCAACACATGAAGCATCTGGAAATGGCACCGAGCCCGGCGAGAACGCTGTCTTAAGGCTGCACCGATCAATATTTTATTATTAACAATGGGGCCAAATGACTATGTTTACAGCCGAGCAGCAGCAGCAGAGAGCTTTCATTCTGGAGATGACTAGTTAGAAGTAGTTGGTGAGCATAGAGGAAGGAGGCTTTAATGGACAGATTAGAGGCGGATACTTCCATCAGTGCATGGTGGACGCTAATGAACTGATGCTAAATTTACAAGGAGATGATAGAGGAGAGAAGTGATAGTCAAAACACCTGTCAGAGTGGATTATCAAACAGAGTCTTGAGCTGGTTTATAAATACGGTCACATAGGCTATGTCCACACTGCAGGTCAATTCCGATTTTTTAACCATATGTGACACATATCTGATTTTTTCATGTCAGTGTGAACAGTGCAATTCTGATTTGTTCAAATCCGACCCAGGCCTCTTTTGTATGTGGATATAAATCAGATTTGTGTCTGATGTGACTGCAGTGTGGACGCTCAGGCGCATTCATCCAACCTTTACGTCATCAATATGCGACAAACGTCACCATTGTTCGACCACACAAACAGGCGCGGAAAGCAATTTGTGATTTGTGTGCATGCGGGTCACTTCACGGGCGCATTACGTTCACATTAGATGCCGCATTCATTGTTGTAATGTGAACGACCGCACAAAAAGATTGGATTGTGCATCATAATCTGCAGTATGAACGTGGCCTTAGTGTTGGGCGGTACGACTGTATATATCGTGTGACGGTATGAAAGTCTCTACCGGTAGAAATCTTGCTATACCGTTTATACCAGTTGTCTGCGAGTGCATCCGTTTGGGTGTGTTTAATTGGTCAAGTTTTGGTGCGCTTCCTATAATCAACAGTGTGTCCAGCAGACTGCTTGGCATAGTTTCGACGAAGAAGAAACAGCTTCAGGAGGAAGAGGAGGAGGAACTCGTTAAGAAAAAGGGCGTGAGTCGCGACATCGGTTGTCTGGAGAGTCTTCGGATCTAGAAAATCCGAGAATGACCAAAAAAACAATACCATGCAAAGAGTGTCGGAGGTGGAAACACCAGCAACTTCTACCATCACCTAAAGATGAAACACGCCAAACTCTATTATGAGCGCCAAAAGACGCATGTCGCACCCGCTGCAGCAAAAACTAAAACTGCAGCAGCTCCTGTCATACCAAAGAGCTCGGCAGAGTCTTTTGCCAAAGGTGCGCCACGTTACCCTGAAAACTGATCAACAAAACACCTGTCAGAGCGGATTATCAAACCAAGTCTTGAGCTGGTCTTTGCTGGGAGTGATTCCACAAACTTGGTTACTTCTAGCTCCAGAATCTTGGCCTCACTCAGAGGAAAAAAAACACACTACAGTCATTTGTTTCTGAAGCATTAAAAAGGAAACAGGATTGCCATCGGCCAGTCGTACAGTCGCCTAACAGACTCTCTCTCTTTTTCTCTCTCTCTTTTTCTTCCCTGGATTTTTTTTTGCATAATCCCTTCTGGTTGAAAGATTCAGTTTCCTCTTTCTAGAAATAATAACAATCAGGTAGTGTGTGTGTGAGTGTGTTGTATTGTGTGAGTGTGTTGTATTGTGTAAGTGTGTGTGTGTGTGTCGATGAGGATCTTGAGCAGCATTCCTGATGTCAGCACTGCTTTTGTACCTGCAGGCTGTAACTGTGTGTGTTTCCGTCCATCTCCGTGTGTGTTTATTGGTTTCTCAGACTGCTTTGTGTGCGTGTCTGTCTCTGAGCTGTGCGTGTGTGTGTTCATGTTTGTACTGTGTGTGTTTATCTGTCACTCAATTGTGTGTAAATGTGTGACCGGGGAGTTTATTGGAATCTTTGATGTTTGCATTTCTGTCTGTGTCTCATTTGTGTGTGTGTCTCTCTCTGTGAGTGTGTGTGTCCATGCATGTGTATGTGTGCGTGTGTGTGTGTACAGCAGGAATAAAGCACCCCATTGATAAGAACAAGTTCTTCTTGTTAACGTATCAGTAGGGCTGGACCGGAGCCAAAGCTGAAGTCCCAGGGGCGTATTTCTACACAACCCCCGCTATGACACGGCAGTTACTATTCTGCAACCCCAGACACACACACACACACACACACACACGCGCTGACACACACATCGAAGGCGAGATAGCCTGGGAATGGAACATGTGTTAACACTCTCTTTCCAAGAGATACATTGAAGAGGACATTGAGCAATGTTTCGTCTTACATCTCTCTAGCGGCCGCCTGTTTTGCACTCGTCTAAAATGCTTCCATGTGCAGTCTCTGCATTCCTCCTACCTTTCTGAGGCATTCGGAGACTCTCCCCGCAGATACCTGATACCCAGGGGAAAGCAGATAGTCATGAGAAATACCTGCTAGCTCTTAACAGTTTCAAATAACACAAGGGGGGATTTTTGCCATTCCCTCCGTCTTCTTATTTTGCACATGTGCCAGGCTATTGTTTAGCTCCTCTTATACACCAGAGAGATGGAGCCGAGGCTGTTTTATGGCGGTCATAATCACAACCCCTGGCGGCTGCATAGGGACATCATATCCAATCGGCTGTTGCAGGGCACACCTCGTTGTCAAATAAAAGTGTCTGCATGAAGGTCGGAGGGAGAACAAAGAGGTTCAGTGTGCCGAATAAGCACCTACAAACCCCGCCGCTCCAGCGTGCGCTTGCTCTCCCTCTCGTATATTTGTTCAATCACTGCAGACCGCGGTGGATGTAGTGCAGCCAGGCCGCACACTCGCTCTTTGACAGCAGGGACTATCACGGTGAATCTGTGCAGAACCGCACAATTAATCACAACAGTGGGTCGAACAAGTGGCTCGACGTGACAAATGCGTGTGGGCGGTGCACGCTGAGAGTAAGAGTTACATACATCAGGAGGGTGTTTAATAAAAAACAGGTCGAGGCGTTCGAGTGTAAGCCTCATAAAGGGCCGTGTTGTTAACATCTGTTTTTGTAGATAGATCAGGAAATGTGAGGGCGTGCGGGGATGAACGCAACCGCAATGATAGACAAGGGCTTCGTCTGCTGCAGCTAAATTTAACGTTGTCATCCTCGCCGCGTTTGAAGTGCAATCGCACAGAACATTTGCATGAGCTTATCCACTCTTGCCCCCTCAGCGCGGGATGTAATGTGGAAACTCAAGGAGCAGGATTTTTTAAAGAACCCAAACGCGCTTTTAAAAAGACGAGGCAGGACTTTTTATTTTCCAGATGGCTTTGATATAAATCATAGCGGTGTCACCGCCGAAGCATGCTTTCCATTATCGCGATTGTTTAAAAGCTTTACCTCGTGGGGAAAATGCAAAGTGACAATCGGAAAGGGTTCAGACAAAAAAGAGGGGAGGTCTCACAAATGGAATTGTCCCCCTGAGCAAACCGCATAATATTCATATCAAACCTGATACATCCAGCACTTGGATTTCTAACCATGCAATCAGGGGCTCTGCCAAGTCAGAGAATCCACCCTGATCTATCTAAAGATAACAGGGGACCGGCGAGGCCACAGAGGCTTTGTCAGAGAGACCCTGTTCTTGTTAACTATCAGACCACCGGCCAGTTTAGATATTAACTCAGAGGCTTTAAATGCCTCCGGAGTGTCACAGAACTCGATTTGTCTGCAGCAGGAACAAAATAATCCCACAAGTGACATAAACCAATCTGTACTTCCTGTAATGGTTTTTACAGCTGCTGGAAAAAGTTCTCACATCGAGAAGAAACTTTTATGTTGGAGGAAGTTTGTGGATTTATTGTTTTCTTTAAGCTTGGCATGTTTTTTTTCTGTAGCTGTTCACAACCCTTAATATTTGGGTGCTTTGTTCTGTTGTTCGGTCCTCTTCTTTGGTGAAATATCTCAATGATTAAACAGATTCAGTACCCCTCTAAACTTTGTGTTTTACTCAGATAAAGACATAAAATATTAGCTTGCTTCGTGGTGAACTTGCTATACGATAAAACAGCTGGTTTCAGTCTAAAGATATTAAAAGTGTGAGAATATTAGAAGTCTGATTTTAGCTTGAATTACCCAGCTGTGTTCAACCCTCGATTCTGATTGGTTGAAACCTTTAACAGGAATTAATTCTGCATAGCAACAGCCAGAAAATCACCAGTTTCCAACGGCATCAGTAACCAACATGGAGGATATGTATATATTTTTTAAGATTGATTGATAGATTAGATAGGATAGGTTAGATTAAATTAAATTAGATTAGATAGAATAGATTAGATTACATACAATAGGATAGATTAGATTAAATTAGATTAGATTAGAAAGGATAGATTAGATTACATTAAATAGGATAGATTAGATTAAATTAGATTAGATTAGATAGGATAGATAAGACTAGATAAAATAGATTAGATTAGATTATATAGGATATATAAGACTAGATAAAATAGATTAGATTAGATTATATAGGATATATTAGATAAAATAGAATAGGATAGATTAGATATTATAAAATTAGATGGGATTACATTAGATGGGATAGATTAGATGGGATAGATTAGGTGGGATAGATTAGATTAGATTAGATGGGATAGATTAGATTAGATTAGATTAGATTAGATTAAATAGAATGGATTAGATTACAGTAGGTTGGTAGGTAGGTAGGTGGATAAGTGGGTGGGTGGGTGGGTAGGTAGGTAGGTAGGTAGGTAGGTAGGTAGGTAGGTAGGTAGGTGGGTAGGTAGGTAGGTAGGTAGTAGGGTGGATGGGTAGGTAGGTAGGTAGGTAGTAGGGTGGATGGGTAGGTAGGTAGGTGGGTAGGTAGGTAGGTAGGTAGTAGGGTGGATGGGTAGGTAGGTAGGTAGGTAGTAGGGTGGATGGGTAGGTAGGTAGGTAGGTAGGTAGGTAGGTAGGTAGGTAGGTAGGTAGGTAGGTAGGTTTGTAATCATGGAGAGTTAAGTGGTGATTTGAGCCACAAGTAAGATGATAAGAACTAAGCTGCCATGACTACTTCCTACTGGAGCTGAAGGGCTTTTAAACTGTTCAAATGACTATTTTTATATATGTATTTAATAAGTAAAATTATCTTTAAATCACTACATAGTGTCAGTTTGATTGTATAATTTAATTTCTGTATAGCCACCCACTCGCTCTACATAACCTTTAATTTAGAAATAAGAGCTTTAATACACTTTCACAGCTCTGTCTCACAAAATCCTTCAACAAAACAGTTTTCATTCAGATTATTTATCGTATTTCATTTCATTCTAACAGCTTCTTTATTTGTCTTCTGAGTCTCTTTAATTACACGGTGAAAATATTGATATGGGATCATTTTTCCCTGCATGGATCTGAAAAGAAGGTGGATTGGAGTGACAGTGTGGTTCCCTCTGGTACTTTTTTCTGTTTCTTTTCCTCTTTAGAAGCACTGAAAGCAATAAAAATAATACTTATTCCAACTAAATGAATCCTTGGCAAATCAAAGTAATGAATAGTTCTTTTTTAAACTTTTGTTTTCTGTTTGTTTTGGTGCCCTCTGTGGATAAAAAAGTCTTTGTTTATCTTATATAGAGAAAAAAAAATCCTTATCCTGCTGACTTTACAGCCAAATATATCATGGATTCAGAATAATTTAAGTGGAAATTGGGAAAACCCACTTTTTTTTGCCGCCAGTTTTTGGCATTGAAATTTGTGATATTAAAATCATCAATCTTGTTGTTTTTGGTCTTTTGGCATCAATTTAAATTTCAGTCTATTTCATAAATATTAAAAACACCTCACAGGAGCTTTAAGTTTTAGAAAATAGACTGATTATGCAAACAAACATGGCATATTGCTATCGATTCCTAACTGTTTCTTCATATAACTGTTTTTTTTTTAAATATTAGAATTTTTTTGAATGTCTCTTTTTTCGTCTGTTACGTAAGCGAAGATTTATTTACACAAACACGTCCTCCTCCTGCGTGTTTTTTTTCCCTCCATGTCCTGCATGACAAGCACACTGTGTTGACATAAAACCGGCTCTCGCCACCTGGCAGGATGTGTTGTTAATGTCACTTTGGTCAACATTTATCACGCTTACATTTTGCTTCCTTGTAAGTGTCGGTGCCAAAACGCGCCGCCGGCGACTCTTCGCTCTGTCCCCCCTCTTTTAGTGCTGTTATTCTGGGCAGTGGGTCTTATAAATAACTAATAAAGAGCAAAGCTATGATGCATTCATCTTAATGCTAGGTGGCATCAGGGACAGGTGCGCCGGCTTATTCCTACCTTTCGTACGACAGCGCGATTAATCTGCTTCATGCTACGTTAAGAGCAAAGAGTGGACTGTGGAAAGAGACAAATGAAAAAAAACCAAAAGGGAAAGTCATGAATCTTAAAGTGAACTTAAAGCAATGAGCGCTGACCACGGCTACCTTTACACTTTCTCTGTCCTCGCTCCTTCCTTAAATAAGACGGGAAAAAGAGACGTGAGTGAGGTGGCCTGTTCCAGAAATAGCTCCCGAACGAGGATAGGTGACGCTAGCGTGAGCAGGAGAGGGAAAAGCAGGGAGATATTAGCCATATGTGATTCATTTACAACAGCATGCTTCAATTAATCTGGGCAGGGTGGCAGGCGCCAGGGTTGGGCCCCATGCCACCTGAGCGAGAGAGGAAGAGTGATCCGCCGCTCGGTGAGGGATGAGCAATGAAAGCAGATCCCTCTGAATCGATACGCCGAACATTACAGCTCACACCAAACTCATCCCCTCTCTGCTGTCCCCCCTCCCCTCCAAGCCTCTTTTGTTCTCTCTCAAAGACGAGGCCGGTAAAGTCGAAGCGAGGCGCTCTGATTTGACAGCAGTCCCAGAAGCACCCGGAGAGGAGCGCCGATTCGAGCGTAGGCGTCCACCTAGAGACACCCTCAGGATGTTCTCCTCCAAGTGGGGCGGCGTGCTGCGGCAGCGAGTGAAAGCGAGGGGAGGGACAAACCGGCGAGGGGGCAAAAACCACAGTGACCAGATGGAACCGCAGATTGTTTTAAAGGGGGCTACCGCCTCAGCAAAACCATATGGGGCAAAAAACGCTATTTAGCGAAAACCTCATTTATGATTTTCACGACATGGCGAGCGACGCTGGAGGATCTTGTAAACTAAAGATAAAGTACAGACGCTGTCAGCACGTGACGGGGGAAAAAAGAAAAAAGGAAACCCCGGCAGCCTCATCTGCATCTGTGCGTCTCCGGGGCATTTCTTTCTTTTTTTTTTTGTGGAGAGTTTTATTTCAACTCGTGAGCAATAACCCCAAATGAGCGCGGATGAACACACGCCAGGCTTTAATACCGTCACGCATTAAGTTACAGTAAAGCCCGCCAAGCCTAATACTGTGATTGTTAGGAGAATAAATAAGACGAAAAAAGATTCTGATGATGATGAATTAACCAGTGGGGAGATATGTATATAGAGTCTGGGGGATGAGGAATATTAAATTACAACACTTGATAGGAAAAGACAAGCAATGGCATCAGTATGGCACAGGATTAAAGAGTGTAGCTTAGCGGTGTCTGACGCTGTAATTATATTTTTAGCTGTCTGTTTCGTAAGCTGTTTCACCTGGCTCCTGATGTAATCTGGATTTATCCGAATTCCTGCCTCATGCATCAAGGGGATTTCTCACGCCGTGAGACAACAGGGGAGGGCTGGAGCAGATAATACAAGCCTTTCAAGCCAAGACACTGTGATGTATGCTTTTCGGCCACGCTGAGAGCTAAAACGTCTCCACGCTTCCCGGGCAATTAAAATTTTTCCATGAGGAATAAAGATTGGCAAAGTATTTCATCCGGGAGTGAAGAGACACAAGGGTGCAAGACGGGGAAAAGACAATGAACAACCTCTGCGGCGCCTCCCGCTGAGTCGCTAAATGGAAAAATTAAGATAACAATAACTCTGATAACAGTAATTATCACTTTATTTTATTCACCATTGACTAAATAAAGGGTTAGAATTACCGCCATCTATACGAAGCGTCATTACGCGCCCTGCATTGTAATTATCTCTAATTAAAATCGGGTAATTAATAAGTGTCTCTGGTCATGTGAGTGTAAACTGTTGTGAGGCGCCCTCCGCGCTCGGCACCGATTTGAAATCATGCAATAATAAATCAGCTGCAGGGAGAAGCTGTCAGCGAGGAGAAGAAGAAGAAGAAGGGTTCAGGGGACCGTGGTGTTTTGGTGTTTCAGGGCTTAGTTAATTAGTTGGAGGGGAAAGCCGAAGATAAACACAGATTGTCATTCAAGCAGCGGCTGAGCCTTTAAACAGCTGTCCGCAGCTGTGAGGGCCTGATCAAATCAAGCTGCTGCTTACAGAGCTGTGCACGGTGGAGACATAGTAATTCACTGAGGCATGGACCAGACTGGGTGGTTTTCATTATTTAGAGAGGAGAGAAAAAAAAAAAAAAGTTACTGTTGTTTTTTTCTTTCATCTGAGTGTCTTTTTATTGTACGTAACCCAGCTGTTACTCCTTCACTCCCCGAATATGCATTTCATCTCTCTCATTTAAACTCTTGTATTTACCCTCAACAGCGATTGTTTACGTGTTGAAAGGAGCAGCTTCTGTGAAAAATTCCAGCGGGATATGAGCGAACGGTTCAGAGCTCAAACTTTCATTTAATTCAGTTTGAGAAACACAGAGAAATTTTGGCATTTGTTTATAATTTACGAGCGGGAGATTTGGCTCGTAAAATAAATGACACAGCTTAAAAATTTGATGTACAAGAGCGACTTTCTGGTGATTGAAAAAGTCAGAGGTGATTTGGTAGTTTACTATCAAGTGCATAAACCTTGTGAAGATCAGGTTTGCGAATTAAGTTAACGGTAAAGAGGAAACGATGTCCGACTCAGCCAACTTGTCCCAGGCTGTATATCTGCCCATATACCTCCCAGCTATTTCCAATACTGCTACCTCCCAATTACAGTATGGGAAGCTGGCAGGGTGGCATAAACAGATGGTACCAGACACCACCTGCATAGAAAGTGCTTGTTGTTGAAGGTAATGGAAGTCTAAGAAGACAGGTTAAACACTTCCACCTCTGGGAACCCCTCCCAAAACACACGACGTCTGCAGTTTATAATGTACAGGAAGATTTACTGTTCAGAGTAACACAATAAATACAAAGTTTACCAAAGGAGCTGCAGGGAAAGTAATTGTGAGGTCAACCTTTATCGTCTCATTGCTCTTGTAAATCATAGAGACGCATCCCCGATCATTAAAAGTTCCTCACAGGACCTTTAAAGCTCCTGTGAGGAACTTTTGGTCCTCTTTGTTGTGACGCCTCAAGTCGAAAAAGTGTTTTTTTTTCTGCTGTTTTGGCCTCGATATGTGTAATTTGTGTGATCAAAAAGTCATAAAAAGGCAAAAATACGAATTGAGGTCTATTTAATACCGCCTTAAAACTCCTTATAGTAGCTTTAATGTTGTTTTTATGAAGCTGAAACAGTTTTTTAACTCTGGTGTTACAAATTTCATTTTCTCTTATACTTGTATTTACTCACAGTCAAACTTGAATATAGTACAGGAATGTTTAATGCATAGATTATGTCTTTTAACATAACATTTATTAAATAGTGGTTCTCCCCTTTCATTAACGCCTCACTATTTTCATGCCTAAAAAAGGTCAAATGAAAAGACTATTGGAGACAACCCAGAAAAGAAGAGTTAAAAATTAAAATTTCTTTCTTATTAACTTCCCCTTTGAGCCAACAATACCAATTTCAGTCCATTTAATATCGCCTTAAAACTCCTTTTAGTAGATTTAATGTTGTTTTATGACAAGCCGAAAACAGTTTTTCACTCTGCCCTTACAGATTTCATTTTCTCCTTTACTTGTATCTAGTTACAGTTAAACTTGGATATAGTACAGGCATATTTAATGCATAGATTGTCTTTTAACAAAGCATTTATCAAATAGTGGTTTTCCCCTTTATCGTGGACCCTGATTACAAAGCAGTAACTATTTTTTTAACTCCTTACCATTTTCATGCCTAAAAAAAAGGTGAAATAAAAAGATTATTGGAGACAGAAAAAAAAGAGCTTCAAAATTGGATCTTCTTTCTCATTTCCTTCTCCTTTAAATCAGCAACACGAATTTCAGTCTATTTAATATCGCCTTAAAACTCCTTATAGTAGCTTTAATGTTGTTTTTATGAAGCTGAAAACAGTTTTTCACTCTGGCGCTACAGATTTCATTTTCTCCTTTAATTGTATTTACTTACAGTCAAACTTGAATATAGTACAGGCACGTTAAATGCATAGTTTGTTTATGAAATAGTGATTCTTCCTTATATATCCACTATTTTCAGGCCTAAAGAAAGATGAAATAAAAAGACTATCAGAGAGAATCCAGAAAAAAAGAGCTTCAAAATTGGATTTTCTTTCTTATTTCCTTCCCCTTTAATCATCTTGTGACCCCTCGGATTCCTCTCGCGACCCCTTGTTGGGGTTTGACCTCCAGGTTGGGAGCCGCTGAACTTTGGCCGAGGTAAACGTAAACACGTTCTGCTGATCAGCGGAATAACGAGCAGACAGAGATGGGCTTTCCTCCTGACAAAGAGGGGGAACCTTTGGGACTAATGAAGTCAGAGTTGAGATAACTGTTGCTCCTCCGTGTTTACACTGACCCTCCTCTGTTTGAAGCCGTTAAAGACGCCGACTCCATCAAACCTAATCTCGCTCACATGTGTCTCTGCTGATAAGGCGTGTGTGTCATTCCAGTAGCCTTCTCGGATCCAACGCCGTGAGCCCCGAATCGGGGTTTGGTTAAATGCCGGTTCTTTAGTGACTCATGGATCTACAGTATTTGTACAGTTTAGCCTGGGAGGCAGGAGCGGCCCTGAGCCCCCCGTCCACCCACCCAGAAGACTTCCTCTTCACTCGAGTCAGGAGGGGAAATTTAGCCCAGATGTGACTTCAAACAAAAGAAAAGCTGCAGGGATTGGAGGTGGGATCAGGCCCATCTTTCGCGTGACCCCGAGACCCGCTCCTTCCTGGCATCTGTCTATTTTTCTCCTCTTCTGTTCTCTCTCCGATGATCTCTTGTAAGTTCCCGTCTCACGGGCCCTTTAACTTTTACTCCTAACCAGCTGGCTGTTTAAAACAAGTCAGTGCTGTGTCATTCCTCCATTGTCTGCGCAGTTACTCAACGACGTATGATGGGGAGGCCTGTGCAGCGCAAGAGTTTCTCCAAATAAGGTGAAACGCGGGGATTTGTACCGTTCTCAGAAAACACATACGCCTCAGCCTTTTTAATGCCTGAAACAACCGCGTGTTGTACTGACATTTTTCGCTCCTGTATTGTTTGCTCAAAAACGTCTAAAAATCACATCTCCAGGAATAGGTTCAGAGGAGGTTTAGCTGAAGAATGTCTTTGCTGTAAAACATCGGCGGTGATAAAAGTTGGGGTTTCTGGAGGGATCACACAGCAATATAGAAACAAGTGCCTCTTTGTGGTCTCTGGTGTAATTATAGAGAAAAGAACATTTTTATTTTTGTATTTGACGTACGAATCTGCATGGGAGACCTTTTGTCTCTTATTTAAAGCTCCAGGAATTCAACTTTATTCGCTTCTGTACCCTGTGGCTCAAAGATCAGCTCCCTGACAAGCTGCAGACTAAAAAAAAAGTAGTCGTATGTTGATTCAAAGTGTAACTGACAGCGTTTGACCCCGATTCAGTGTTCCTCTAATGCCTTACATTACCCTCAACATTCAAGTCGCTAACAGACGCGCTGTGGTGCTAACGTCAGCAAACAAGAGAGAGTTAGAAAAGCTGTTTTATAGCTTTTATAACCACCTCCATCCTTTAAACTAGGGTTGACTTTTAATGCGATACCGATATTGTAGCCTTCTGTATTGACTGAAACTGATATTGATCCAATATCAGTTTTTTACTCATCTGCAACATCTTTTACTACCACACGGCCGACATCACTCCTACTTCTTGGTACTTTGTTCGTACCTTAGTACACAGTGTTGTTGTAATTTTGCTGGATCTGGGTGTTGCTAGATAGAGGTGCCAGAGCGGAGTCTAGAATGGAATGCTTGTATCGGTATGCTGATATCGGAAATTTTAGATGCAGGCCGATTTATAATCCGATATTTGTTTCTTTTGTTGATATCAGACCGATATCAATATCGTATCAGGACACCCCTAGTTTGGAAAGGACTGCTTGTATCGGTGTGCTGACATCAGAGATTTTACATGCAGGCCGATATAATCTGATATCAGACTAATATCCTGTATTGCCATCAGACTGATATCAATATCCTATTGAGACACCCCACTTTAAACATATTGAATATAAAACGGTTGAAAACATTTGTATAGTCTTAATTCGTATTAAAATTGTGTTCACCTGTCAATCACGACTTGTTAACGAATTTGCATGTTGATATTGATGTTACCGATGCAGAAATTTATGACAATAACCAGCGTCATTTTGCCCGTATCGGTATGTTCGGTGTCAAAATAAATAAATAAATAAAAGTTGGTTTTGGATGTGTGTAGGTAGGCTATGGTCTCATGTCCCTTTAAGACGCTGTCCTACGTCAGAGACGTGACTCCGCCCCATCCAGTCCGTAACAAAGAGGGAACGACAGGTGAGATGAGAGATGGAGGACAGTTCAAAAGCTGAAGTCAATGTAGGATGGGGTGAGCAGCTTGTGGAGGAATTATCGATTGTTATCAAGGCGAACTGATCAATAAATCGCGATATTGATTTGAGGCCATATTGCCCAGCCCTATGTTGATGTTATGATAACACTAACTAATAACAACATTACTGCCAGGCCGCTCCTCTGGTGAGTCAAATCCACCTCAGACCCAAGCATTCAGGTGCAGCTAATCAGACTTGGCGCAATGCGTGTGACTCACCTGTGACTCTGACGGCGTGTTGAAACCTGTCGTTCGCCACGGCGTTGATGGGGACAGGAGTTTCACACAGACAGACCCTGTATTAGAAAACAGAGTTACAACCAAACTGGACCAGGAGTCATTTGACGTACGTTTATAAAGATCTGTTTCTTACGATCTATTTCAGGGGAAAGGTGAAGATCTGAGGAACTCCCCGCAGTCTGAGGATGATGTCTGCAATCGATCTCATCTTGAATTAATCCTACAACAGAAATAATACCCTGTGGTCAGAGGGTTGTGTGTTATTTAAGAGTTAAATCAGATCTATGCGGACTCTTCACCTTAAAAACGACAAATCGAGTGAGACATATTTTGATAGCAGGGAGCAGCACACGTCAGCACAATATGGCCGCCGCCTATCTAAGCAGTCATGTGTGGTATCAAATCTGAGGAGGACAAGGATGACATGGCAGCTGCATGTCAGAAACAGCAGTAATCCACAATCCCCCCGTCGTCTCTGTCCTCTTTCCAGGGATTTTAAACCTCTCTATTAAACCGTCTCTATTTCGCCTCCTTCTGCGTCTCCCCCCCACCTCTCTGCTTCCCTCTCCTCCATCCCTCCCTTAAAGCAGAACTACAGGGGCTTGCTTGTTGTCAAGTCAGTGTTTTTACAGGCTGGCATTAGCACAGGGCAGCATTCAGTCAGGGCGCTGCATTCGCTCTGCCTCCCCTATAATTCACAGGCTCACAGGACAGCGTGCTGCCTTCGCTGCCGCTCGTGAAATGACCCTGATTTAGCGCCGTCGGCCTTTTGACCAAACGACGCACCGTTTAACTCTTCCTATAAAGGCAGTTTTGAGCTTTATAAATATACCGTGTAGTTTTAAATGTCAAACACCACATCCTGTGTAGCGCAGGAATGCTAAAACGCAGCTGAGCGGGATTTCGTTTTTCACACGTCAGGGCGTAATTGCTATTTAATCTCGCTCTAATTGGATGACTTTGTTTCATCATGTGGAATCTACCATGTCTTGCGAAGCATCTGCGTTGCGTTTGTTGTGAGTGCGCTGTATGTATGTATGTGTGAGGTGGTATATTTCAGGTGCCTGTCAATCATGTGTTTGCAGCGAGGCAGAGCGGTAAAGGAAGTCAAAAAAGTGAAAGAAATAAAGATGAGTTTTGGTCCTGAGGGGCTCGAGAGATGGTGCAATCCTCACACTCCCTCCTCTCCTCTCCTCTCCTCTCAGCTCTCTCTCCATGATTTTTCTGTACAGTATGTTGGAGAGCTGACTCGTTTCCCTCTGCATTTCTCTTCTGGGAGCCCATGCTGTGACATTAGATGCATGTAGATTGATAATCAGCGGTGGTAAACATAATTACGCCGCCTTAGAAATTAATGAACGCATTGATCGCCCACTCTAAACATTATCAGCATATTATTTTTCTTCAAGCCACTGAAATCTCGAGGGAAGGGCAGGATTATATCACGGCTTCAGTGATTTGCAATATTACCCCGGCTCCCTGCAGTTTGTTCTTACAAAGCTCTTGCCAATACTTGTGGGGAGATTTTGAAACGCTGATGTTGTTGGCACCTTTGAAGTGCCTTTCTGTGTCCAGATGTAAATTTATGTAGGGAGAAATGTGATAAGCTAATGATGTCTCAGAGGACTGGCTTGAATACAACTAAGGGATAAACATTTCTGCATATCTGAGAGGACTTTTTTTCCTCCCACCGCCTCTTTGACTCTGTTTGGGGGCCCTGGACAGGAGAGCAGATGGACAGGGCGAGCTTTGATGTGCTCTGGGGTCGTGTGTATCTGCAGTTTTATCAAGGTACACAAGCGTGCAGAGTAAATATGCCACGCCAAAACTCTGGGAAGGTCTCTGGGCACGGCAGAGAAAGGGAATTTCCACTTTGAGATTCAGGCCAGGGTGTAGGCTGGAATATTTCGCTGCATTCGTGAAATATGGACCTGACCTATATACGGTAAAGCTGTGTTAAACCTGATAGCGCAGCGAACGTAAAAAAGATGTCCGGCATTTCGTTTACAGACGCTCAAAACCAATTTAGCAAATCTGATAAATTTTACCAAGATATCTCTCAGTGAAATCAGATGAACGTCTGACTAATAGATCGAGGATATTCACCCATGCATCCTCCTTTTACTCATTTACGTGTGTGTCATTTTATCCCAATTTGCGTGCCAGAAAGAGACATCCGTTAATGCCGCAGCCGCCACTGCAAAACATGTCCATCAAGAGGAAAATAAAAATAGGCTGTTTCCTCTAAATTCGCTCAATCAATAATTCATGCTGTGCACAGAAGCTTGATTTATGAAGGAATTAAATGTTGTGGACTGGGCCTCCAAACGCCCGTCCATCTTTGGGGATGTGAAAGCCGAAATTAAACATGAAAGGCAAACACTGAGAACAACCGAATCAGAGCACGCCGAGCGAGTGTAGCCGACGACTTAAATGCCACACGCACTGGACCGCCTGATTGGACAGAATGACTTTGGTGATTTGGGCGGGGGTGGAGATAATTAGCTCGGAAAGTTTCCGTGAGTTATATACGTAGGAGAGGGTCGCCAAAGGCCAACGAGGCGCATTAATACTATCAGGCGGGATCAAAGTCGAATGTGTACCTGCTGACCTGCGGGGGTCTCCTCACTCCCCTGTCTGTGTGCCTTTCTGACCTCACGGCTTTGGCTGTAAACTAAAATGGAGAACACGGGAACATGACAGTTTTAGTAGTTTTAAACTCGGGCTGAAACTTGATTTCTCCTTTTTTTTGTCGGTAATTTATATCCCTTTTCCTGCTGTAGGAAGTATAAATTTGATGATACTTAAAAACTGAAGTTTTGAACTTTACAAAAGAGAGTAAAATGATTTGCAATCATGAAACTATCTTGAACTTCAGTGCCTCTGGTCTACAGATAACCTATCATGAGTTTTTTCACTTGTGTTTCCACGGTTAGCTGTACCAAGTTTTCAGCATTTTAAGAAAACTAGTTAAGTTTGACTTGACAGTTCATAGATAAGTTGTAGACTAAATATAAACATCTTTTTTGACTGAGAAGTAAGAGAATCGAACAAAAATTAAAGATGGACTGAGCAGTTTTTGGTCTAAAAGAGGTCTAAATGTGGCCTAGACAACTGGTCTAGAATCAGGCTAACGCAGGTCTAAAAATGAAAGTTTTTTTAGACATCTAAATTTAGACAAAGTTTAAATCTGGGCTATATCTATACTAAATAGTTAGTGGTTATAGTAGTTATAGTAGTTATAATAAATAGTTATTGAATAATGGGTTAAAGTGCAACGTCTTAAATCCGTCTAAAAATATACAGAATCTAGACGGTTGAAATTAGGTCTTTAAAAAAACTAGACATCTAATAGCTGTCTGTTGCTCAGTGGGAAAGTGAATGCTCTGTGATACAGATTCTAAATAGAAATGTTCCCTCGTCACCCCTCCCATTGAGAAGTTAAGTGACGGTGTCCCTTAAGGACAAAAAGCTGTAACGCTCTTTTTGTTTCATTGTTTCGTTTATTTAGATCTCCATCAGCTTTGGTTAAGGCCATTGCTATTCTTCCTGGAGTCTACGTTCACAATTAGCTCTCCATCGCAGAGCAAAGACAAAAAAAAAAAAACATCACGCCACAAACACAAAGACAACATCAGTATCCACAACAACTCACAACAGCCTACAAGACAAAAACAACACAAAACTAGAACAATACAAACGACAGACATATATTACTGGACCTTAATTATTTTCACGGTGTAGTAGTAGATCTGAAACAATCAGATGTTCAAAAATTAACTTACATCCTACATAATTGAATTAATTTACCAAAACAGTGCCCAATACATGAGCAGACTTCGATATTTCAAGTAGATGAGACAAACACTGATTGATTGTACCAAGCTTCATCTAATTAAGGAGCTGTTTGACTGATAATGTTCTTTAACTAGAACTTTAAGTTTGTATTTGTTTTGTTCTTGGATAATATGTCCTGGCCCTATACATTAGCGTACTTTTCATGTTCTTTGTTTTTACTTTGGGTGAATTTACTCTTTATAGCATGTCTTGTTCTGTAACAGTTAAATTCAATAAACAGATTATACACACACAATAATCCCAATTCTGTTCAGCCTCCATTTTGTTTAGTAGCTCATCCATTAAGTACTAAAACACCCTTTGTAGACATAAAACGCTTATTATTTTTTAAACACATTAATATATTAAATTTGGTGATTATACACTAATTTAAACATACTTATGAGTATTTCACCTCTACTGAATCAAACCTGCAATCTGCGTCTAAATGGGCCGAGGCTACGTCACATGTCCTGATATATTTTCTCAAATTACTGTACCTTTAAATTTAGAGTGAGCTCGGTGTTGAGCTAAAGGTAGCCCAGGTCGTGACACTGACACAGCAATCCTCAGAATGAGTGAGCTAGAGACTGGATAAGGGTGTACTTCATTATCTAATATTATTTTGTCAGTTAAAATCTTAATTAAGATAAAACTTGTGTGTAGTAATTGTTATCCATAGAAGATCTACATCCAGGGGGCAGAAAGCGGGACATTTCTTATTTGTTCACTAGCGCAGTCCACAGAGAAAGAAAAGGACAAGGAGCTGTTGTGCTGTAAACTGCATGAATCGGCAAAACAAACAATCGGCAAACATTACGACCCTGATAGTGATATTAGAAACATCTAAAACAACGTCACAACCTGGTAAATTTAGTAAAATTCATGGACATTTCAGCAAGTGTTCTTCTGATTTTGACGCAATGATATCGCAATTGTGTCAGGGCGAACTTGCAAACGAAACGGCATCTTCGTTTTGCCCCATGGTTGCGCGCGCACCTAGTACTGTTTGTACACAAGAAACCCGTCTACAACCTAGATTGTTGCATGAATGTTTGTATATTCTAACTCTAGTTCGTTGATGCATGTGTCTATGCTGATACAGTCACCTACCTGTGAGTTATCGGGTGAAAAATAGCGACTCTGCTCTCATTGACACAGTGACAAGTGTTTAATGGTAAACGCAGGCGAACTGTGTGAGCCCCCGCACGCGCGGATGTGTGCGCGTGAGCGACCAGGGGAGTGTGGGCAGAGGAGCAGAGCAGTGCTGAATCAGTATTAACGCGAGGAGGCAATGGAGTCAGATGAAATTACTTTGGCTGTGTCTAAATGCTTCAAATCACTGGGAGAAAGTACGGGAAGTAAAGGACGAGACTTTACTTTTCACTCGAGGCTAATTACCCTGCTGTAGCCTAATTAAAAACACACCCTTCCGAAAGGGGGAAAACCGGGGCTAGTGGTCCTTAAAAAATCTCACTGTAGGCCAAAAATATCCGACTAAACTAGAACTAATAAGCTCCTTCAGGGACTCTTTGTGACCCCGAGGATACAGTCGCACAGAAATTAACTCGGGGAACATTAAAAGGACTGGCCTGTGGTGATTTTTCATTGAGAATGTGACTCCAGGCTGATTTCCTGGATTTTGTGATTAAAATGCAAATGAAAGCGTAGACACCGTCAGGGAGGTAAAGGAAAAAAAAAGGTAGGCTGGGCGTATAGAGCATGTAGGAATGAAGAAGAGTGTTGAGAGACAAACTATTTTCTGCAGCAGTGTGAGGGCAGCGGGAGGATCTGTGGCTTACAGCCATCACGGAGCTGCTGGAGGAGATGCATTCTTTATTCTGAGGAGGGGAGGAGTGACAGAGGAGGGAGGGAGAGAGAGAGGGAGAGAGAGAGAGAGAGAGAGGTGAACAGAGCACACACGTCGCACTATCAAGTGAATCCATCTAAGAAAACAACTCGCTGGGAGTCCGGGTCTGAGCTGCGTTACAGGCACTGAAGGCAAGTTTAAGCTCCCCACGAAAGAGCGCGCAAGGGCGGACGCAGCTGGCCGTCATGGCCCGTGGCGGATCTGGCGGTGGACACTTCGGCGAGTGCGTCCTCACTGTTCTGGCAGAGTGTGGAGAGGGAAAAGAGGGCTCTGCGATCACCCTGCTGCTGCCGCCGCCGCTTTTCTCCGTCCTCATGCGCAGCAGACGCTTGATTTAGAGCGGAGGAGAAGCGCCCGGGGAGCGGGGAAATAGAAGAAGGAAAAAAGTGGCGGACAGCGGTGTGAAGCGGACGCGCAGACCCATGCAGGGAAATATGCTGTTCCGAGGACTCGCCGGGTTCATACAGATCGGGACTGACTCGCAGCAGCTTTGCCGAACGGAGCTTTACGCACGGTGATACAGCTGGATACGCATGAAGGACGAGGGCTCGGAGAAAGGGGAAAAGTTGATCATGGTAGCTGGGTTTGTAATGGATAAAGGCTCGCTAAAGGTACAGTGGATGTTTCATTTTTACCCTGGAACTAGTCTTAGAGGGGGGGAAAGGAAAACAGGGTCATCGTTATCCATAAAATTAACATGTTTTAAGTTACGCAGAGAGAAAATTTTCACCAAACATGATTTCACCGTGACGCCTCGAGCATTTCCACATCATGAGTGATTAAGTTTCATCCAAACCTCGCAGAAATCTCCCGAAATGTTCATGTTTCATCGAGTTTAAGAAGATAAGAGCAGTACAAAGCTCTCTGCTCCACATTTTCCACCCCGGAGAGAACCTGACTTTTTTTTAAAGGGGGGGTGGAGGTGGAGGGTGTCTGGCTGTGGAGGTGGGGAGGGGATGTGGGGGGGGACTTTCACTCTCAATGCGCTGCACGGTTTTCAATTCTCCCTTTGAAATAATTCATTCAGATGAACAGCGCTCACTGGGCAGGCTTTGAAGTCTACCTGATCCGCCTCTTATCGCCTCTTAAATACCCTATCCATTTTAAACTTTTTAATTGCGTTTCTGTCGCTAAATCCAGTTCTAATCGGATTGTCCTGGCCACATATCAGAGCGTTCATCTGGCGGTGAGAAACTGTGCTCCCTCGGCTGGAAATCAAATAAAAAAAAGGGAAAAACCAAATGAAAAAAAAAAAAAAAGTCTTTCATCACTTTCCCTCCTTTCTTTACTCATTCAAACCCTTCATTAATCAGCTTTGGTGTTGTCAAGCGAACATCAAGTTGCCATCGTGCGTTTTTTTGCAGTTATTATCTGGATTCTTGGTGACATTTTATTTATGCAGCTATAATAATCTTGATGCTGCTGCCTTCTGCTGTTGATTCTGCTGCTGTGGCAGGCACATTTTATCACCTCATGTGGTTGCTTACACTCCTGGAAGCTTATTTGATTAAATTTAGCTCTTTCAATTTAGAGAAGTAGATCACAGATGTGTGTCAAAGGATTGTTTCTCCGTCTCTGCCATAAAGAGCTTGTGCTCCTAAACAAGCTGCAAAAAGGGGAATTGAAAGGAGCAGGGCTTTAAAGGCGGGTGGATGCATTTCCTTTATTTACTATTCCTGTGTGTCTATTTTTTCCTTTCCCTCCTCTTTCATGGCTGCTACAGATAACAGATGTGAAAACGAGGTTGAAAAATATCCCAAACCTCCTGATTTTTTTTCTTTACGGCTTCTTATTTTCTCGACAAATCTCGCAGGACACCTTAATCAGCGCTCACGGCCATTCCTGTGCTCAACATTTTACCCATCTTTCCCAGAATTGCGTGTCATCCACCATCGACGCAGGGTGGAGCTTCTGACAGGCTGAAAGCTAACTGGTGACAAGCAGTATCTTTCAATCATGTAAAGGGTAGAGGTGTAGAAAATGTTTGATGGCTCGTAAAACTTGCCATAATGGATGGAGGGGTCTACTGTAAACCAACGGCCTTGTCCTTTACCACAAACCGCTCCTCGCTGAAAAATAGCCTGTATCGATCATTTATTGCAGTTGGAAGGCCTAAATTATTTTCCAATCCCATTTCATTTGACAGCTTGTGTATGTCACTCCAGCCAGAGGAGGAGGGTCTCTGCTCCTCGACCGCCTCTTCTTTGTTTCGCACTTGCACCCGCCACAGCCTTAAATCTGGAGGTCGACGGTGCGTTCAGGACTACCTGAATAACGAGCTCCTCCTTAGGCCAACGTCAAAACAATCGCCTCTGTTGACTGTAAGCACTTGTGTGTTTACTCATGTACCTCGGCCCACAGTGTCTGCTCAAGCAGGCAGAAACCCAGGCAGCTCTAAGTCGTGTTCAGAATTTTTTTTTATTTTTATTTTTTTCCAGGGAAAATTCAGTGGATCCATTTTGGCACTGAAGGTAGTGATGTCTTCATAGGCATTATCTCTTTTGAGCCTGTTTTCCATGAAGATGCATTAATGTTGCAGAGAACCTCAGTGAGTCCATGAGTGTGTGTCCTTGCCGTGCTCTATTCCCTCCTTTGATAGAGCAGGAGGGGATAAAAGCCTTCTTTATGTCTGCGAAACCGGATGTGCAAGAGCTGTTCTGAATATTTATCAGATGGTTTGACTTTTTTGAGTCCCTTTTTTTTTTTTTCAAACCACCGCATAATTTGACATCAGCAGTGAACGATGTGTTTTGTGGCTCCCTATGTTTTGGAGAGAGGGAAAGGCAGCTGGTATGTGTGTGCATGTTTGTATGTCAAATAAAGAGCCAGAGGAAGAGTGGGGGAAAGAGAGGCCCCTTTTTTCCAAGAACAGGCCACCCCTAACTACACTAATCCAGCATTTCTTTGTTTTCCCACAGGTTTCTGGATCCAAATGTCACCCCCCTTGGACTCTGCCCCGGTCGGGGACCAGCAGTGTGTGACGGACAGGCGAGTGGAGCCTGCGGTGGCTCTGTGCTGCATGGTTTCAAATTGGCCCTGGCTGAGCTCTGCAAGGAGCAGCGAGTGAAGAGTCCTGCAATGGTCTGACGTCTCAGCATGGATGGAGTCAGTCAGAGGACCGGCCGCCACTAATGAGACCATCGCGCTTCAGCTGAGGACTAGCATTTACAGGATTACTCCCACGTTTTCCTGCTCGTTTCCCAGCTAACTGCATCATTACAAGACTCTCCAAGTGGGACTTTTAATGCGTCTGGTTTTTGGTGGATATATACGTCATTGCCTTTCTGATTTTCATATTTCTTTTATTCCATCCCAGTTCTTTTTTATTGTTGGTTTCCCTTTTCCTGTTTTGTTTTTCAACTATGGAGTTTCTGGCCGGACCCTGGAATAAAGATTGGGCTTCATTCTTGCAATTTTGGTTGACTGTCATCCTAAGCCTCCAAATGCAGTTCAGGCCGGGCGCCTCTTGCCCCAAGGAGTGTCGTTGTGACAACCAGTTTGTGTACTGCAATGAACGCAGCCTGACATCAGTGCCTCTGGGGATTCAGGAAGGCTTCAAAGTTCTCTTCCTACACAACAACCAGATAAACAATGCTGGATTCCCTATGGAACTTCACAATCTTGCCTCGGTAGAGACCGTGTATCTCTATGGCAACCAGTTGGATGAGTTCCCTATCAATCTGCCCAAAAACACCAAAATCCTGCATCTCCAGGAGAACAATATCCAGACCATCTCTCGGGCAGCCCTGGCCCAGCTGACCCAACTGGAAGAGCTGCACCTTGATGATAACTCCATCTCCACAGTGGGGGTGGAGGAAGGGGCCTTTAGAGAGGCGCTAAGCCTCAAACTCCTCTTCCTCACTAAGAACCACTTAAGCAGTGTTCCCATTGGCCTCCCTGAGGACCTAAAAGAGCTACGGTTGGATGAAAACCGTATTGCCATCATTGCGGAGGAGGCCTTTCAGAATGTGACACGTCTGCAGCGCCTCCTGCTGGACGGGAACCTGCTGACAGATGAGGGCATTGCACCAGGAACTTTCCAGGAACTGGCAAACCTTCGTGAGCTGGCCCTGGGCCGCAATTCACTCACTTTCCCCCCTCCCCTCCTGCCCAGCCAGTCGCTGGTCAAACTCAGTCTGCAGGAGAACCAGATAGACCAGATCCCTGTGGCGGCTTTTGCTGCCTTAAATAGGCTGGAAAGACTGGATATCTCAAGCAACCAGCTTCAGACTCTTACACAGGGAGTGTTTGATGGTCTTTCAAGCTTAAAGCATCTCATGGTGCGAAATAACCCCTGGCGTTGTGACTGTGGTGTGAAATGGGTGGTGGTATGGCTCAAGGCGTTACCTTCATCCATCAATGCCAGAGGCTTCGTGTGCCTGAGTCCAGACAAGGTGCGTGGCATGGCAATCAGAGAGCTCACGCTGGATATTATTGAGTGTCCAGTAGAAGTGGACCAGCCACCCTGGCCAACCCTTCGATCAACACCCCCTCCCCCACCCACAACAACCCCTTTCACCACCATGATCTCCACACTCATCACCACATCCATTCCTCACTATCCTAACTCACCCTCCCCTCCTCTACCCCCAATCCATCACAACCCTCCCGGGCCCTTGCCTCCTTACGAGGACCCTCTTCGGATCTCCTTCCATGTGGTCAACTCCACCAACATCGAGGTGAGCTGGGCTTCCTATTTCACCGTCACAGCTTACAAGGTAACTTGGGTCAAAAGGGGCCAAAGCCAAATCAACGAAGGAATGCGAGAAAGGACCGTGACCGGAGACCGGCGGCACATCAGCCTCACCAACTTGGAGCCTCGGTCTGTGTATCGTATCTGTGTGCACGTTCTGGACACCCTTAACTCCTACAGGCCCGGAGAGGATACTATATGCTCTGAGGCCAGGACCAAGTCTGCTGTGACTACTAAGCCTCCTGGCGGGGAGCAAGCTCCTCAGGAGAGCATCAACTCGACTCTGCTAATGGCTGGGATCATTGGTGGAGCGGTGCTTATCATTCTGATAACGCTGCTCAGTCTGTTTTGCTGGCACATGCACAGGAAGAACCGGTCATCTTCGACCAAGTGGAAATACAACCGCGGTCGGAGAAAAGACGACTACTGCGAGGCTGGAACCAAGAAGGATAACTCCATTCTTGAGATGACTGAGACCAGTTTCCAGATAGTGGCGCTGAACAATGAGCAGCTGCTTAAGGGAGATTTCCGCATTCAGCCCATCTACACGCCCAACGGGGGCATTGGATTTAGAGACTGTCACCTCAGTAACAACAGCATAGCCTACTGCAAGAGCAGCAACGTGCCCAGTACAGAGTTCTGCCACACGTGATGCAGCGGCAAAAAGTACATTGGCATTCACACAAACACACAATAAACACTTCGCAGTACACGCATAAATACACACACATACACACCGTTTGTGTAGACGACAATACATAAAAGTTCTAGTGAAATATAACTGTACTATATATATTTCCAACTTCTGTCTACAATGTAATTTATACTGTGGATAATAATGTGGGATTCTCTGCTATCTTTTTTATTCTTAGGAAAAGAGATTCAAGTGTTTCTTTTTTATAACCAGCAGGGTTTTGAAAGTTGTTTTAATGGTCAGTACTGTACATGAACATGGATTTGTACAATCACGGCACCCTGGGTGTAGCTTCTGACGAACGCTGTCAGTCTTGGAAACGTTGGGGCGCTTAGAGGGCTGGGATCCTTTGCTAACCACAGAAGCAAAATATGGCCTTTCTGCGCTTTGAAACACTGCAAACCCCCCTCAACCCCCCCAGTACAACAGAACAGTAGTAAAGACAACACAGCACAGGGGAAATCCAAACACTGCTGATTAGAGCGCTGTGGAAATATAGCACTGGTTCACCGATGGCATGTTGTAAAAAAGAAGAATTGAAGTGCACTTTCTTATTAATGGAGGCGAGGCAGGAAATGAGCAGTAGCGGTGGGGATCACATGTAAGAGATGGTGGATGGCTGTGTGGGGAGAACGTCCCGGCGCGGCTGCTGTTGCCGCTGCTAAGAAGCCAGGAACGAGTTTTCCCAAAGGTGTCCTGACACTAAAAGCATCTTTGTTCTCGCGGTTTACAGCAGAACAAAGCTGGGCTCGGTCCAGGGACACGTTTTGGAAAACTCAGAAAAAAGGATGTGTCATTTTCAGCGTATTTGTTTTTTTGTTTTTTTAAAGTCGGGAGGTGCTATCATTAACATGAGCTGAAAAAGCAACAAAGCATTATTGTCTCTAATGAGGCGCACGGGTCTGCCGGGACTCCCAGATCCTTTTGAAGAAATTCCCTAATTTGTTCTGCTTCTTTTTTTTTTTTCCCTGTGTTTTGGCAAGAGAGGCCACAAGGGGGCAGTTTGTTTCCCTCAGTGTTGAGCGTGGGACAGACGAACAGAGGGCAAGACAGAGAGAAGGAAAGCATAAGAAAGACGCATGGATCACTTTACCTCCTCTATTCCCCCTGGAGTCCATTACCCAGACAGCATTACTCATGCTCAAACAGCATTGTTCGGAGTATTATTGCTCATCGAGCAGCTTAATGATGTGGAATCATTTAAAACTAACAGTGTTTTCTGTGTTTGGTGGCTAAATGATATGGATTTTCACCACTGTGGTCTGGAGGAGTCTGTTTCTCCCTGCCTGTGTGTGTGGACGTGCATGTGTGTGCGAGTGGATGATGATGAATTTCCAGCGAGCACACACATCCTGCTCATTACACACCCACTTATTTCAACCTCGTCCTGGCGTTCATTAGGCTGCTTGATAAATTAGGAAATTACAACAATAAGATGGCAGCCCGCCCATGATCCCGACAATGCTGCACAGTCTCATCCTGTTGTGTGCGTCACAATGTCTACCTAGTTGTCTCCATGTTAGACAATAGGGCTGCACGATATATGGTTTGTGAGTCGTCATCGCGATGTACGTGTGCGCGATAGTCACAATGCAAAGCCTGCGATGTTGGAGGCGAATGAACTCAACTAACTTCAAGGGTAGCTGACCGAGATGCTGTGCAGCGATCCAATCACATTGGTTCTTAACTCAGTTGCCAATCAGACTACCCTGCCAGCCGTCAATCAAAATCAGAGAGGAAGAAACCACGCCCCTGCACATGGCATGCACATGGAGCAGGTCGCTGGCGCTGCTGGTGTTGTGCCGAGAAATGCGTGACCGCTGAGAATTACTTTCGGAACATTACCCATCACTGTTTAGCCCAAGAAGTAAGAATTTTATGGGTTTGAAATTATACATTTCCATGGACCACTCTACTGTAAGCGGTGGGCGTTTTGCAAGGTGCATGCAATTCTCGGCGAGCATGCGTTTCTTGGCGCAACAACGGCAACAACAACGATTGCAAAATGAGCAACGAACAAAAGAAAACCACCGAAAATGAAGACTTGTTATCAAAAGTAAAGGAAAGTCAGTTTTCTGGAATTATTTCAGTTACAAGAAGGCAAGGTCGACCAAAACACGTGTTCTGTGTCGGCAGTGCCTTTCACCTGTTGCCACAATAACATCCCAGCCCAATAAAAGCAAGCTAAAAACATCTCTAAGACAGACAGAAGCCGTTCTACTAACATATATATTGCGTGTTAGTTTTTTCCGATATCGTGCAGCCTTAAAAGACAACCCCCTCTGCCCTTCAGCTCCAGACAGAGCCGTGGTGGCATCTCCTGTGCCACTTCGAAGACTTCTTCTGCTCTTCTCCTTAAGAAGACTTTATTTGATTTGACAAGATATTTTTTCTGAGGGGCCAAGCTTTAAAGAATTCCCACCGCTGACCCTCCTGCCCACCCACACCCACCTCTCACCCCCCTCTCTCTCTTTATAATCCCCGACCAAAAAAGGGAGAAAAATATGTAGACTTTATTTTCACTTGGCTGCGTGGAGCTCACGCTGGGAGGGAGAGAGAGTGTGTTAACTCTTTGTGAGGCGTAGAGACGCAGCAGATTAAGCGTGCGAGGTGGAGAAACCTCTACGACTGGGCTGAGTTTCTGGTAAAATATGAAAAAAAAAGGGTTTTAAGGGCTTTTACTTGAATTATTCCAGAGTACTGAGATTATCTCTGAGAGGATTCACCTCCGCAGAACATCTCAAAGTAGCTGCACTCAATGTAATTCCTGATATTGCTCAGATGATAATCCCACTGTCATTTGAGGTGACGCACAAACCCCATTTTGTAAGATCTTTTCAACAGAAGCAAGAACTAAGAAAAACGAAGGAAAGACGTCATAAAAAGACAAAATCTGTCCACGTGATGGTTTGACATTTTGGAGAGTTAAGTTCAGTCACTTTCTTGCTGAGAGGTTAACTAAAACTTAAAGGTCAACTGTCATGTTTGTTCAGTAAATACGAAGATGCCGCTCAGAGCCGTGTTAGTTTAGCTTAGCATGAAGACAAAGATGTAAGAAGAGGGCCAACACCTGTCAGAAGAAGGTGGCAGGATGACCATGATGTGTGCTTTCTGAAGATCTAACACAAACACAACGAGTTAGCATTAGAGGTGCAGCCATCCTTACTTTATAGTAAATATAACACAAGCGAGGAGCTCATCACATAAGCTTTGTATCAGGTTTGTAAGACGAGGGCAAACACCTTCTCTGGTGACCAAAAGGTGTTACAGTAGAGCAAACAAGATGGTAATCGGAGAGCTTTAGAGATGCTTGTAGGCAGATTTAGTCGCCTGCAGATGAGGTCAGCTTGAGCGTTCGGTAAATATGAAACCACCACCTGATGTAAAGTTAGTTTAGCATTAAGACTAAAGACGAGGGCAAACAGCTGATCTGGCTTAGAGGAATCTTATACTCACATCTTTAAGGGGTTAGCTTAAAAAGTTCTGCTATTTGTAGGGTGACCATACGTCTTTTTTTACCCAGACATGTCCTCTATTTTGGTGGCTGTCCGGTCTTGTCCGGGGAGAGTTTATAAAATCCTTTGAATGTCTGGGGTATTGTAGGAAGTTTTGAGTTTGTGTCGCGTGGACCAACTGAGTTAGAAGCACGTAAAAACACTCCACTCCACGTAGTAGTGACCTCTTCTTGGGGATTTAGAATATGGTCACCCTAGCTATGTGGATTTAGTCACCTGGGTGGGACCTAATCTCGAAGTAACATTAGACAAAAAGCAGAAAAGCAAAGGTCTAACATGGTTTCTAGCAAAAGCGAGAATACCTGTATATTTCAGCTTAAGATATGTGAAACAATAAGGTGTAGCTTAAGCTTAAACTTAACTTAAATGACATTAAAATCTGTTGAAAATGTGATGACTATAATTAGAGATATCCTTAAATTGTGTTATCTCGATATCCCCAACTCTCAGAAACTTAAAAAATCTGAATCCTGACTTCCAAGATGGCGGATGATAAATATGTTGCCGAGCTAAATGTTGCAGGTGATCAGCTATCTTATCATTTGAACGGTGGCATGTTCTACACGAAACCCACACCCTGTTCAACAAACTCAACAAGCTGGTCCAACATTTCAGACATCTTTGCTTCCACCTTTAGTCAGCTGTTTTTCCGTCAGTACTTCATGACACTCCACCAAGCATCCTCCAACAAAAACAGTTTGTCTGATCATCAATTTGAACCTGAAATATCTTTGTTTTAAAATCATCATGGCCATAATCTTTTTCGGAGTAGATTAGGTCAAGTAGAAGCATTATTAGCTAACTTCGGGCTGGAGAGTTGATCTTTAAACTATCTTAAACTTGTGATTTTGCTGATTTGTTTGAGTACCCCCACTTTAGTGAGCTTATCTCGAACTTTTCTAGTTTTTCTTGCAGAGCAAACTGGATCTAGCCTCTCTTTAGCCAAACAGACATGAATTTCCTCGTCTAACTCTTAGTAAAGGTGGTTAATCATTTCTGCAAAATGTCAAACTACACAAAACCTGCACTTCTCCCACCCCCTGAGGATAAAATACACGAATAACTTGATAGATAACTCTGCAGAAACTTTGCATGACTGGTCCGGTTGGGTGTTTTATTAAAAAAAAGAGAAAAAAAAAAGAAAATCTTCTGTGGTTATCAAAGTATCTCCATTATTTTTCCATCTTAACCTTTTTTTACTGACATCCACAGCCACCATCAACACTTGAACATCTCCATCAGATCTTGTTTGTCTCTCTCTCTTAAAAGATGAAAGCCCCGTTTGAAGTTACTCGCTGACCAAACAAAGGGTTGCGTTAAAAGTATTGCCACACACACACAAACACACACACACACACTATCTCCCTGGTCTGTGAATGTGTAACAGAGACAGATATTTGCCTTACCTTTTGTGCAGGACTGAATGATTAGCTGAAGAGAGAC